GAGTTTGAATCGAAAGATCTTACTTTTAGAGACTTCCCTACAATTAGCAATTCTGATTATGTTAGTGACCGTACTGCATATGTTGAATTGAGAGCGTTAAGACCCGACCGTAGGCTTAGCAATTGCTCTAGATAATTGATTGATTGAATTTTATTGATATTTGATAGATTTAGAGCTATAAACATGGTGAACCATAACCCTATGTCTTTTTATTAATTATTTTATCCCTCTTTTAATTTAGACTACTTTTCTATCCGAATTCGTGACATAGGTTAGTTTTTCCAATTTCTTAGAGGTTAGATTAATACCATCTCCCTGTGGATTCGACCCTACTTACTCTACTACATTGTTAGTTGGTTTTGTTAGGAATTTTTTGACAGGTGTACGACAACCTATCAATACTAGCTTTCTTTTGCTCATCACCAAATTTGTTTTAACTCAAAGTGATGTTTGTAATTAATCAAACATGGCATTAGCCTATTAATATAAATATCTTCTGTTTGTGTATATTAAAAAAAGAAAAAAAAAAGAAAAAAAAAAAAGCTCTAGTTATAGATTATTAATTGAAAAGTATTATAATAATAAATTAGCTGAGGAATAATAAAAGAGTGTGATATGTTGATATTTGCATTCTTTAATTGTAGCTTCTAAAATAAAATTAGCCAAAAAAAACATGAGCTATATTTTTTGTCACAAATAATTTTTGGTTTATATTTGTCCAAATTTCTTTTGGAAACATTTATGAAATCTTTTTATTTAAACATATAATAATTACTACGTATTGATATGGAATATGTTTACAAAATAATACAAGTATTAGTTTTGTACTGTAATTAATTATTTCCTCAATTAATACATTTTTCTTAAAAAAATAAAAATAAAAGCATGTCAAAACCTTGACTTTTCCCAAAACCAACCTTAAAAGTTTCAAATAACCAGCAAAAAAATGAGTATCAAACTGTTAAAGAAGCTCATTAGTTTATTACTATCATCTGATTTGAACAGGCTCTTCAAATCTAGACATTCAGCGACATAAACAATAGTATTAGAATACAATACCCACATGTTTGACTGAGTGTGAGGAGGGATCCAAAAAGAACACATAATTAAGGGGCTATTAAATTGCTATTTACAAAATCTATAGACTGTTTGCTCAAGTTCTAAGCTAAGTATGCAGAAAACTGAAATAAAGCTTCGCTATATATATTCCCATTACAGCTTCACGAGTTATTTCTTTTCGAATCACAAAACAAAGACCCCTAGGAACATATTTACCATCAATTTAAAGCTATGTACACGATCAAGATTGATACCCTTTTTTATACCCCTTAACAAAAGTGATCACAATGAGGTATCTTCATTAAAAATACTGAGGATACCATCTCAATTCCATCTCTTCGCGTTCTTTAACCCCTTAGATTTTGCTTTTGCTTTTGCCTGCTGAGAAGCCAACATTTCTGTTTCTTCCGAGCCTCCTTCTCAGCCTGTTGAACAGATATCAGTCTCTGGCAAAGGAAAATAATTTAAGACATACTTCGTTAATCACCAGCTTAATATTTCCTTGGACATCTTTGATTTTGCTTTTACTTTGGAATTCTTCTCTTCAAGCTCTGCCTCACAATCCAATTCTCTTTGTCTTGCATCGAGATTCTTCTATAAATAATACTGCATATGCCATCAACTATATTCTTAGAAGCCTTACAAATCTCTGAAATAGTTAGGTCTACAACATCAATATTTAAAACACCATTTAAAAGGCTCCAATGCCCTCACTTTTACAGTTTTCCCCTTCTCGTTCTTTCATATGAGCAAAAGGATAAATTTTTTGGTTAATTAGTCACCGTTCTTAATTTTTTTATTTTTCATATGTATGCAGGCTAATGCAGCTATAGATGTACACCAGACAACAATAGTTAGCATAACACGCATTATTCTGAGAGAGTCCATAGAGAGGTTATGAGAGATTATGAGTTCAGAGAAAAATGCCAATATTTTCATGCAAAATGTATACACAACAAGATAATACAATACATTACCAGCAAATTTATACATTTAGCACAGCAGAAATTGGCACTAACCAAAAGATCAGGTGTATCAAACCCAAACAGGGTCCACATGTCAAAGTGATCAGTTTGTATAACTATAGCAAAGTGCATTTGTATTTTAACCGGTAGAAAAACTCAAAAGACATTTCGAGGAGACCAATTGGAATAGTTTCTTTTGTCTATAAAAATTTAGTTATCTGGGTAAAAGTAGGAGTATCCAGTATATAATATTAGGAAAGGAAAGCAAATTCCGTAGATAATTCACCTGTCAAACACATCCTATAGCTCTGACTTGACTAAAATGAGCCCAGGAATATTTCCCACAACAAAAGAAATGAACAACACAAAACAAACCAAAATTGAAGCCAAATAAAAAGAACCAGAATCATATAAAGTGAAGCAATTCAAGACTTACATTGTAGTCCCCAACATAATCTTGTAGATTTCCGTCCTTCACCTCAATCACTCTGTTAACTATTTGATGAACAAGATACCGATCATGGGAAACTGTAATGACAGTACCTTCATACTCTTGTATAGCTTCCTGGAAAGCAATAAAATTAAGAATTAATAACTGCTTATACAAAGACTACTACTATTATAAGAGTTTTTAACATGAAATAGATCGCTAACCTCAAGCATCTCCTTTGTAGGTATATCCAAGTGATTGGTAGGTTCATTGAGAACCAGTAAAGTTGACTTTTTCACCATGAATTTACAGAACGCCAAGCGAGTCTGAAGAAGCAGAAAATGATGTGGTAAGCCTTCCAATGACATTGGAAGAGATTGAGTAAAACACTCAGGCAGAGCTGAGGATTAGTATTTTGACAATACTACCTTCTCTCCACCACTCAGAAAGGAGACCTTCCTATCAAGCATATCTTTTATAGTGCTAAAAGGATAAAAACCTAAATGCACAAGAAAGGAATTCTTAAACTAGGTCCTGGTAGTGGTAATATACCTGATTCTGCTCAAAATAATTTGGGATGACATTTTGCTCCCCTAATATAAACTTCACCAGCAGTAGATTTCTCCAAACCCATAATTTATTTTAACAAAGTGCTTTTCCCACACCCATTGGGACCAATTGTAGCAATTTTTGATTCATTATAGATATATGGTGATCAAGATTTTATTAAGTATTTTTATTCATTATACAGATTATGACATATGTCTAGTTTTGAAAAACAAAAAACCAACAAACAGAAAATTACAGTAATATTGACCAAACCCAATAATGGATTCATCTTTAATGTGATTACGAGATATTTTATTCTCTACTAGTGATGTTTAAAGGTTCTTAATATTATACCTAGTAAAATCAATACATCTTGAAAGGACAGATGTACATAATTTATGCCTATTTAACAACTAGACATTTGAGAAACTCTTTGGTTGACCAAAAACATGTTTTTTCTTATATATATATATATATATATATATATATATATACTGCCTCCATTTGTTATATTTAGTACTGCAAAACAGAAATTCTATGCTTTAAACCTTACCAAAACAGAAGTGAAAAAACAATCAGTCCAAATTAGAATGCTATACAAACACAATTCAGTAGGAAAAGCCTAGTAAAATATACTGATATACTGTTGATGCCTCATTTTTCATGCCATTTGTATGTCCAATCATATTCTAATTAGCAAATAAACAAACTAAAAATCTGCTAACAAGTCAAGTCTGTGAACAAGCATATCACAACTCTACAAACTTTGCTATATCTTAGAGCTCCAATGAGATTGGGCGACGTTCTTATAAACCGGGCTGTATCTTTTATATTGCAGCTTAACCAGCTTAAATTTATCTAACCCGCATTATCATAAGCTTATTGATGGCTTAATTGATGAGTTTATAAAAATGAAGTCGGTGGATGAGTTACTTAAAGTTGATGCAAGTACTTCATCAAAGTCTACCCTACAAGATGGTGGAGATGGTGGAGGTGTGGAGATGGTTGGCAGAGGTGGTTCAGTCAGAAGAACGAATAAAAGTTTGTGTTCTTTGGACTATGGTGAAATTGGTGGTCAGAGTGTAGTGTTTGTTACGCCATTTATGAAAAGTAATTCTCGTGCTTTTAGTGAAAAATTACCTCGATTATATTTAGAAGCTCTTGATTATTGTCTGGTGGAACACTTATTTAATAATAAGTAAGTTCTTTTTTAATTGTCATATTTTTTGAAACCTTTTTTTTTTCTTTTTCTTTTTGTTTTGATATTAATAATATTGTTTGACCTTGCAGTGAGAATCTTGTTACTTATGGATTGCATTTTCTCTTTCCAAGAGAGGATATGGTGTCTTGGTGCATCCTAATTTGGTTCGTTGGTCAGTAGTTGATTGCTACTGCATTTATCTAAATGAATCATGTTTTTATGATACTTGTGGTCCTAAAATATTCTTTTTTGGTGCGAGGCAAAGTGTAAGCAACTTTCTGCTTTGAGTTATTTGTTTTCTTACTCTTTTCAATTATTTATTTTTTCCTTTTAGTTTTGCTTTTTTGCAAGTATCAGAGGGGAACGAAGATAGTTCTGCTAGTTATGCTGTCTCGGATTTGCATGAAATTTGGGATGAATGGGTTACATATGAAAATTCTTGTTGTGATGTTATTGGTGCAGACTTGGTATATATCTTAATTTTTTAATATATATTAACTGTGTGATGGATGTGCTTTATGCTAACTTTTGTTCTATTTTTTTTCAGGTTTATTTTCCTATTCTTGTTGATGAACATTATGTGATGTTTGTGATTTATCATGGCAATGAATTGGTTCATTATGTTGATAATATCATTTGGAGTCATGACATGATTACATATTTTCAAAATTTGACTTTTTATCTGGTATGTTATTGTCTATTTTAAAGTATGTTTCTATATTAATCTTATTTTTTTTGTTGTTTTTAATATTTTTTTTTTTTCAGTGTTCTGAATTTTGGTGATTTTCTTGCACGAAGAAATCATCCAAAGAGTGAAAAAGTCCCTTTTTACAAGTTTAAAATTGCTGATTTAGTGTGGCGGAAGAGTAAGGTTGATAATAATGACTGTGGTGTGTATATGATGTGTCATATGGAGCATTTTGTTGGTGATACATCGTTTTCTGTAGATGAACTTAGAACAATGAGTGATCTTGAAACTGATGCGAATTAATTCATTTGTTATGTTTATTCTAATGTTTTATACATATTAATGCGCCTTTTATTTTCTTGTTGTGAGGCTGCTGGGAGGAAATTTTTACGTGCTAAGATTTGTGCAAAACTCGTGTTGTCTGACATGAACGAATCAAGATCTGATGTCTTAGCAGAAGTTGAAAAATTTAATGAGAAGAAGAGCGATCTTGCATATGTTGCTGAAATTGAAGGAAGGAGGAAGGCTGCAGCAGCGGAGAAGAAAAAGAAGAAATCTGAAACTGCTCCTCCTACTGTTGACACTGCTCCGAAATCAAAGGCTACACGGAAGTACACTCCTTCTAAATCTTAGCTAATTTTGGAAGTTGTTATTAGTTAAGTACTTTTGGAAGTTGTAATTAGTTAAGTACTTTTGGAAGTTGAAACTAGTGATAAATATCGACACTTAAACTAGTGTTAATATTTTCAAAATGTTTGTACAAATTTTATTTTATATATATATATATATATATGATTAAATATTGGTAATTTGTTGTTCTTATTTTTATTTATTTATATTTCTGATTATAATTTTATAAGTGTATCATATATCATCATACAGAGATATAGTTTATTTAAATGAAAACTTGAAGTTTAACATATATATTACCATATTATTAATTTTAAAAACGGACACTTTTGTGATAATTATTGTCACTTTTGTGAATATAAATATCACTTTTGTGAGTGACATATTCTTTTGTGAATATGCAATACTTTTGTGAGTAAAAAGTAACACTTTTGTGAGAAGATGCATCACTTTTGTGAGCATTATTGTTACTTTTGCGAGTATTAGTGTTACTTTTCTGTAAATGCATCACTTTTGTAAGTGTTAGTGTCACTTTTGTTAGTAAATTCATCACTTTTGCCAGTATATGCATCACTTTTTCCAGTATATGCATTACTTTTTTAAGTATCAGTGTAATATTATATAAATGTTCATAATTCATGAGCAATTCCATATCACAATTCAAAATTCTGTATGAAAGTCAATAGTAGCATTAAACAAAAATAAAATCACTACAAAAAAGTATTCAATTGTGTTTCATCCAAACTCACTACAAGTTCAAAAAAAGTCGCACAGTAGGTGTCTTCGATCCAAACTCTGAATTTGGATTTGGTAATGCTTTTTGCTTTGATTTCTTCCCTTTTTTCAAGTGCTCCTTTTGCTCTCTTGCTTCTTCCCTTTGTTACAGCTCTCTTAGGGTCTAATATAGTGGGTATGGTTGTACTTGTTGATGAAGAAGCAGTATTATTGGTACTCTGAGCACTCTCTGCCACATTAGAATTGTCATCACTTGCAGCAACCTCCTCTGTAAAAGCTTCGGCCGCAAGTAAGTCTTCCACCATTTTCATACAGTTTTTGAAGTTTTCCTCCATGAATGCTCTTGCCTTTTCATTTTCTTGACTCTTTAAGATTAAGTTATAATATTTTCTCATCATTGTATGTCTCCATGGTGTATATGGGAGTTTTGGATCCTTATTTTCCATTTTATTCCATACTTCAGTTTTTGCAAGCTTTGTCCATCTTTTGCTAATGTACTTCTCTGGAATTCTTGTAATAGAATGTAGATGTAAAATTCTGAGGCAGTGATAGCATAGCCAACCAGAAGCTTCAAAATTCTTGCAAGTGCACCATATAGTTTGGCTCTCATGTATGTAACTTACGTGTTGGGAAGACCATGGCTTTTCTTCTAGCGATACTTCATAAAGAATAATGTTTTCTTCAGTTCTCCCTAGAATTTGTACTGTGGTCGCTATTGAGTAGCCAAATTCCTCTTCAAAGTCTCTAAATAGAGACAATGTGTAAACCTGCACATTAGAGAAATAATTTAGTACAGAGGTATATAATACAAGTAACTTCTGTATTAATAAAGGTAACATTTGTAATGATATTAGTAACTTTTGTACCAAGAGACATGCATAAATGCTTTTATAAATAAACATATAGTCAATGTAATTTTTGCCATAATATATGTAACTTTTGCCTTAATATATGTCACATTTATAGAATTTTACCTTCGTCTTCATCTACTGGTTGTCCTTCTTCATCTAGTGTGTTCGGAATAACTTGATCTTCATCTTCTAATGTATTTGAAACACCTTGATTTTCAATATCTGCATTAATTATTGAAAATTAAATCAAAATTTTAAGCAAAAACAAACAATAGGTTAGTATTTTTTTAGATTATTACCTTGTATTTGAATTTCTGGAACTTTTGAGTTTTGAATGTTATCATCATTAAATTCATCGAAATCATCAACGAAATTCTCTGCTTCACCTTCTCTGAATGTTTGATTGAGGTCGAAACTCCATGTTTTCTCTGGATGTTGCGTTAATGGTGGTCGATTTTCTCTTTGTAATTGCAGAAATTCGCGCATTAGGTTTTTGTAATTGGAAGCTTTGGAGGTTTCCGGCATTGTTGATCGAAAATTGTAGATTTCTCTCTCCTCCATGGTTGCTTGGTGAAGGAGCTTTGAATCTGGAAAATTGGAGTTTTCTCTCTCCTCCATTGTAGCTTGCTGAAGAAGATGTTAGTTATTTTGGAAAAAGGAAAAAAAAAAAAAATACTGTTCACACGTGCGAAAAACCGGTTGTTCAGTATTTTACTGCACATCGGTTGTATGTAAAACTTTTTGTACAATCAATTAGTCAAACCAACTAATATGATCAACTTCGGCTATCAGCTACCGGGGCCAACATGAGTAATATCTAATTCTAGCTACAACTTCTCCAATAGATAGAATTCATAGAAACATGCTTTTTGTAATTTTGTAGGCCCTGCTTATCATCAACATATCATCACCAAACTCTTTTTTAGGGGCCAAAAGCCCAAGTAGAGCTTCAACCAACACCATTTTTTCAATGTTCAAAAGCCAGTTTATATTTTAAGTCCAACACCATTGGTGTGGCTTGCTTTTCCTTCCTTTGATGAAGGATATGATTGTATACATGGTGAGCTAAATGCTCAAATGTTGAAAACATCACTATGGAACCTGTGAAGGAGGCAGATTAAGCAAATTAATCAATCATCTCAAAATAGTTCATAAAATTTGATAAGCATAAATTTGGGAAATGATCAGAAAAAAAGATCCCCAAATTCTTATAAATACAAATATTCTTTACCCACAAATTGAGAATATTATAGGTGTAGATTTTACCCTTTCAGTTATTTTTAACCTTTTAAAACCCATGAAAGCACCACTGCCTTCATAAAAGAGTCCATTGGTTTATTCTCAGAATATAGTACAAAAAGAGCTTGTAATCTAACAAAAAACAAAGCCAATAACCCAATTTCCCTCTCCTTCAGTCACCTTAACATCTCACCATGTTCGTATGCCTAGTGAGCATATTCAACCTTATCTACCACCAGATACTTCTATAATGCTTGTAATTTGCTAACATACGCACATCATCATCATCATCAATCATCATGTCAACTACATTCATTTTGAAGCTATCCATTTCCTATGTTATAGTTCTGTAAAAAAAAAATGAAAATTAAAAATAAATCCTTCATTGATGTAGATCAGATAATACTAAAGTGATTGCAATTTGAACTTGATACTTGGGCACAACTCAAAAAGAGGTCATGCTGTTGGTGTTAATTTCTTTGGGGTTTGGTTACTTTTTGAGAATAACAGAAATCAGCCGAACAATGACACTACTTCAACTAATTCTGTAAAATAAAACCCTAATCACTCACAACACTTAATTCTAACTACCGCCAATCATCAATTCTTAAATACTTCGTAAACAAAAAATTGAAAAAAAAAAAAGAAGAAGAAGAAAACGCAGCATTAAGCAAACAAACGATTGATAGAAAAACAACAATCCAATCCGATCAAATAAACAAGCAATAATGAAATGCAAAAGTCAAACGATAAATAAAAAAAAAAGGAACAAAATGCAGAAAATATAAGTAAAATTACCTGATTGAACACAGAGTATGTCAATAATTTTGCTGCACTGTGACTAAATAAACCTAGCCTGGGCATTGGAGGCTAGGGACTACTATTTTATCCTAGCTATCTGACATAGGGATAGCAGATGCATGTCACTGCCATTGGAATCGCCAATCCATGGCTCAAAGAAGTACTCAAAACAAATCTTGCTGCTATAGATCGTAGTGTCCAAGACAGATTCTAGCACCTCCAAGCACCTAAGAGTCCAAGACAAACTCTAGCAGCTAACTATACTCTTCCATTCTGTCAAATATGATTACTTATCATGGCTTATATAGTAAGATATAGCTCCATTACTATTCATAGGCTAATAAGAAAACATATGCAACTCGTAGGCAGATACCAAGTAAACACACACAAATTGATACAATAGGTCAATCCACATCTGCTTCCATGAGCACCATTCAAGTAAAAGCAAGCCCAAAAAGAAGTAAAATCAAATGTTCGAAATCACAGATGTTAATGCTTTTTCCTACAATCAATCAAAAGTTACACATTAAATATAAGACTTACTAATCCACATCTCACTCACAATATCTGTGTACACATCTCTGTCACAGCTGATCATATATAATTTATTCATTGCTACTTCCACCTTTGATCCTAACTATTGCTCACTCAGTTCTCCAAAAACTTTTTAGCAAATCTTTGTCTGCATCACCGATATTTGGATCAGCGAGTAAGCCCACAAATGATGATATTGTGTGATTATCAGCAACAAACTCTTTGATTCTCATCAACCTGACAAGCTCTAATGCTCTCCTAATGTCCTTTCCATCAATAAATCCTCTAATAAGTGTATTAAAGGTGCATTCATCTGGAAAGCATCCATTGTCCTCCATATTCTTCAGTAATTCATCGGCTTTTGCTAGCAACCCTTCTTTACAAAACCCTTTTATCATTATGTTGTAAGCACACACATTATGCAGTCCTTTAGCTGTGAGAAAGGAGAAGATGTCCACCGCTTCTCTAAGCCGATTAGCTTCACAGAAACCATCCATTAGGATATTGTATGTAATAATATCAGGGATCACTATATCAGTTCCATATAACTGGAAGTTGGGAATTGCAGCTTAACCAGTTCCATATATCTCTAAACCTGGAGTGTTTCACACCTTTTGCTTTTTGTTTTTTTCAGAATGGAAAAAAGAGAAGAAATTAACAAATGTCAACCAGGTTATATGATTTGATTCTGGGCTTAAAACTATGTTATGTAACCAAAACACGAGTTCAGTTAAGCAAGATCCAAGTGCCTGGAAGAAGAAAAATCTTCAACGACAGAGACTTCAAAGGTTGGTTATCTACAGAAAGCTAAAACACACCCCAAGAAATTCAATCAACACGTCTCCAATGAACCGATCAAAACTTTGTAGAGCCTAAGAGCCCTATGTACAAGAGTTGCATTGTATACACTATACAGCATTACAGCATGTGTGGTTATGCCTAATCAAGTAAAATGGTAAATTTGACCCCTATGCAAAGTAAGCACAACTGCTGTTTACAACCATTGGATAAGATATAGCACAACTAATGCGACTCACAGGCAGATGGCAAGCAAACAATTGGATACAAAATTTACAGGTTATGTTCCAGATTACAGGAGTTAAGGTTTTTGCCTACAGTCTATCAGAACACATTAAATATATGACTTACCAATTTATAATGTTCACTCATAATGTCTATTTTCACATCTCTTTCACAGCTGATCATCTATGCTTAACTCATTGCTCCTTCCACCTCCGCTTTAACCATTGCTCGCTCAGTTTTCCAAAAACTTTTTCAATAATTCCTTGTCTACATCATCAATATTTGGATCATTAAGTAAGCTCACAAATGACGATATAGTGTGATTATCAGCAGCAAACTCTTTGTTTCTCATTAAGCTGACAAGCTCTAAAGCTCTCCTCACATCCTTTTCATCTATAAATCCTCTTATAATTGTATTGAAGGTGCATTCATTTGGAAAGCATTTATTGTCCTCCATATTCTTCAATAATTCATCGGCTTTTGCTAGCAACCCTTCTTTACAAAACCCTTTTATCATTATGGTGTAAGCACGCACATTATGCAGCCCTTTAGTTATGAGAAAAGAGAATATATCCTCTGCTTCTCTAAGCCGATTAGCTTCACAGAAACCATCCATTAGGATACTGTATGTAATAATATCAGGGATCACTCCAGTATTCCCCATTTGCTTCACTGTTGTAATTGCCTCGTCAATTTGTCCATTCTTACACATGCCATCAAGGAATGAATTCCAAGCTATTATATCTGGTTTCAGTCCATGAGCTTTCATATCCTCAAAAAACTGGTGTGCAAGCTTGATTTGATTGTCTTTGCACAAAGCATCTATAAGAGTGCTGTACGTGATAACATCAGGGGTTAATCCGTTAGAATGCATCTCTTGGAGCAGACCAAGAGCTTTGTCAATGTTTTTAGATTTGCAATAGCCATTGAGTAAGCTGTTGTAAGTAACTACATCAGGTTTGCAACCATCTTTTACCATCACATCCATAAGCTTTTCTGCCTCGTCCATCTCACCACGTAAACAATATCCGTCTAACAGAGCGTTGTAAGTGATGATATCTGGAACCAATCCTATCCTAGTCATGAAATAAAAAATGTCCCGTGCTTCACCAACCTTGCCATCTTTACAATAAATATCAATAAATATGTTGTAGGTCTGTATGTCAGGAGTTATGTTATTCCTTAACATCTCAGTCAGCATATCTTGAGCCTCTTTCTGTTGTCCCAAAGTGCACATACCTCGAATTAAGGTATTAAAGGTGACAACATCAGGGGAAATTCCCTTGACTTTCATCTCCTTGAAAAGGCGGAGAGCCTGAGGTAATAACTGGTCTTTACAGAGACTATCAATGATGGTGTTGTAAATGACAACATTAGGCATAAAATGGCCATAAGACTCCATATTTCTGAGGAGTTTGAGAGCACCGGCATTATCACCGGACCTACAGAGACCTTTGAAGATAGAACCATAGGTGATTAATGTGGGTTGGTAGCCAAGCTTGACAACTTTATCCAACAATTGAACGGCTTTGTCCAAGTGATGAGTATGAACGAAGCCGTTGATGAGAGTAGTAAAGGTGACAATGTTAGGTTGAAAACCAAGTTTAATAATGTTGGCGAGAACAGAGAAGCCGAAATCAACAAAGTTCAAACGACAGTAGCAATTAGCAAGGATGGTAAGGGAGTAAATATCTGGACGAAGACCTAAGAAAAGGAGGTCTCTGTAAAGAGAAATGACAGTGGAGAAAGGTGGGTTGGGTTTAATCTTGGACATGGCACTCAATAACATACAGAAATCAATGATAGATGGAAGAGGTCTCATCGATATCATATGGTGGAAATGGGAAAGGGAGATTTCAACATTAGTAAACCCTAATTTGGATTGTTGTCTAACAAATTTCAGAAACAATTTGGGATCATCGTCATCAGAATCAAAGTCATGAGTAGCGTAATTGGTGTAATATCGGCAAGGAAACAGGTGAAAAGAGGGCGAATTGAAGAGGGGAATACTGAAATCGAAAAAAGGGAAAGTAGTATAGAAATGGAGAAACTTACTTGAGGAGATGCCATGAAAATGAAGAGGACGAAGGTTGATTAAAGTGGCGCCATGAAAACAAGGACGAAGAAAAGCTTCTGCAACATTAACAGATCGAGACCTCATCATATTCATGTATACTCTGTAAATCTGGAAACAATTACAGTATGAAGAAGAAAAGCTTGTATAGTCCTTACAAAGCCACGAAGGTCAAGTAGAATGTTGGAATTATTCCCAATTGGTGTACCAACTACTCTCTCCCTCCCTTTTGCCCCGCTGTTATTTTTGGGGTCAAATTTAGAAAACTTTGAACATAAATTACAGTTAATCTATAAAAAATAGAGTAATATAGTCATGACTCATGAGTGGTTTGGTAAGATTCGATTAATTGTATATTTTGTTAACACGACCTTTTTTTTATAAATTTTACGTGTATAAAAACAAAGACATAGACGTTTTAATACGTGTGTTGGAGACCGTGTATAGTCAAATGGGTCAAAAAAATATATTGGAAAACAACTAAACTTAAGGTGAAAATAGGGCTAATCAGGCTTAATCATGTCAAATAATTCAAGTAAAAGCTCTAATCTTATGAAGCTGAGCTCCCTGCGGCTGCTCATAATGCTTAGTTATAATGGTGCTAGGTTCTCTTCGGCAAGGCTGCTTTAATCTTTTGGACAAATATGATTGATTTAGGAAATTTTGTCTAGAACTACCCTAAAGATAGGGTCATTTGTGAACAACTATCTATTTTTTTTTTTTATTTGTTTAGAACTACCCACAAGTTACAAAACGTTTGGGTAACACTACCCATTAACGTTTTCCGTCCAATTAAGACGTTATTGGGCCCACTTTTTCACTTTTCCCACTTAATTAACTCCCCTAATTATCTTCTCTCTTCTCCCTAATTAACTTCCTCTCCATTCTCACTCTATAATCCAAAAGATTATACTCAATCAATTGAACACAAATTCTCAATTATTCAAGTAATGTTTCACACTTTCCTTTTAATTTATTGTTTATTGTATTTGTATACAAGTTTTAATTGAACGCAATTAACATAATTAGGGTGTAAATTAGGGATTCGAATTAGGGTTTATGGGTCCAAATAAATTTGGGGATTTTGATTTCTAGGATTTAGGGGTTTAATTGAGTTCTAGGTTTCACTTATTTTGACTTTGAGATTGAATTCAATTGCACTTCAATTACTAATTGGCCATTGTAATTGATAGGATGTCTAAATTTGGCGGTTTTAATTTCTAGGGTTTAGGGGAAGTTAATTAGGGAAGAGGGAGAAGGTAATTAGGGGAAGTTAATTAGGAAAGAGGGAGAAGGTAATTAGGGAAAGTTAATTAAGGAAGAGAGAGAAGGTAATTAGGGGAGTTAATTAAGTGGAAAAAGTGAAAAAGTGGACCCCATTAACGTATTTTTGGACGGAAAACGTTAATGGGTAGTGTTATCCAAGCTTTTCTTAACTTTTGGGTAGTTCTTAACAAATAAAAAAAAAACGGGTAGTTGTTCACAAATGACCCTATCTCACAAATGACCCTATCTTTAGGGTAGTTATAGAAAAAATTTCCATTGGTTTAAGTAGGCCTAGGTTCGGTTTTATAACTAAGAACTGTCTCACTAATACTTGATAAATCACATTTATATAGGATTTATAGGCACGTTTATGCTAAGTTTATAGTTGCTTTTTAGGTCTTTTAGTCGCTTTTTAGGTCGTAAATACATAAGTTGTTTGTTTTGTACTCTATTACGTTCCGTTTGTGTTTTTCTTAATGTTTCAGGTGATTTGATAGACATTTGGACGCTTTCGTAGTGTTTGGAGTTGATTCGGATGATATTTGGATGGAAGCCGATGAATTGAGTTTATTAATTGGAGATCCCATGTTTGTGGATGTTGATTGATTTATATGCATGAGGAATGGATATATCATTCACAAGGGTCGATTTGCATCTTTCGGAAATGAATTTGAGTTAGAAACGAAGTTAAACGATGTTTTATAAAGTGGCAAGACTGACCTTTGTCCACTCTTTTGATCATAACTTGAGTTCTACAAATCGGATTGATGTGATTCAAATTGCGTTGGAAACTAGACTTAAAGATATTTCCAATGATAGGTCACACGCCCCAAGAAGCCTTATAGAACAGAAGTTATAGGCATTTGAATCTAAGTGATGCTGTCAGCCACCCGCGGGATAATTGCTGCGCCCCTGTCCCGCGACCACTCGACACCAGCAGGTGCTGCTGCCAGGCCGCGGCCACCAGCCTGCGCCCGCAGGTCTGGTCGAGCAGCCTTGAAGCCTCGAGTAGCTTTTTCATTCACATCGTCACAAGTCTTCGGGCCACGTCATCTTCTATCGTCCACTAATAATTCAACTTATGTAATTTATATTTTCTTACTTCTTTTCTTTAATTATTTTTAGATTAGTTTTAGGATAATATAAATACTCAAGGGATATTATTTTTCCCGCCTTTTATTATTTTTTATTTTACGTTCTTTTTAGTTTTCTCTCTTAAACCCTAGTTTCTCATGGCATTTCCATGGATTCTTCCATGGATGATTCTTGGGTATACTATTTTAATTCATTGAGGTATTTTATTTCTATTTTCTTGCTTTTAATTATGTTTTATTCCTTAGATCTAGTTTTTATTATTTCTTCCATGTTTGAGTAGTTTTATTTCTAGGGTTTGGGAATCCATGTTTATACTATGAATCTTGATTGATGTTTTTAATATTTTGATTATTAATTTCTCTAATTGATAGAGTTTTATTGTTAATCTTGCAACCTGATCAATTGTTTGATTAATTCATGTTAATAAGAGTTTGAATCGAAAGATCTTACTTTTAGAGACTTCCCTACAATTAGCAATTCTGATTATGTTAGTGACCGTACTGCATATGTTGAATTGAGAGCGTTAAGACCCGACCGTAGGCTTAGCAATTGCTCTAGATAATTGATTGATTGAATTTTTATTGATATTTGATAGATTTAGAGCTATAAACATGGTGAACCATAACCCTATGTCTTTTTATTAATTATTTTATCCCTCTTTTAATTTAGACTACTTTTCTATCCGAATTTCGTGACATAGGTTAGTTTTTCCAATTTCTTAGAGGTTAGATTAATACCATCTCCCTGTGGATTCGACCCTACTTACTCTACTACATTGTTAGTTGGTTTTGTTAGGAATTTATTTTTGACAGGTGTACGACAACCTATCAATACTAGCTTTCTTTTGCTCATCACCAAATTTTGTTTTAACTCAAAGTGATGTTTGTAATTAATCAAACATGGCATTAGCCTATTAATATAAATATCTTTCTGTTTGTGTATATTAAAAAAGAAAAAAAAAAGAAAAAAAAAAAAGCTCTAGTTATAGATTATTAATTGAAAAGTATTATAATAATAAATTAGCTGAGGAATAATAAAAGAGTGTGATATGTTGATATTTGCATTCTTTAATTGTAGCTTCTAAAATAAAATTAGCCAAAAAAAACATGAGCTATATTTTTTGTCACAAATAATTTTTGGTTTATATTTGTCCAAATTTCTTTTGGAAACATTTATGAAATCTTTTTATTTAAACATATAATAATTACTACGTATTGATATGGAATATGTTTACAAAATAATACAAGTATTAGTTTTGTACTGTAATTAATTTATTTCCTCAATTAATACATTTTTCTTAAAAAAATAAAAATAAAAGCATGTCAAAACCTTGACTTTCTTCCCAAAACCAACCTTAAAAGTTTCAAATAACCAGCAAAAAAATGAGTATCAAACTGTTAAAGAAGCTCATTAGTTTATTACTATCATCTGATTTGAACAGGCTCTTCAAATCTAGACATTCAGCGACATAAACAATAGTATTAGAATACAATACCCACATGTTTGACTGAGTGTGAGGAGGGATCCAAAAAGAACACATAATTAAGGGGCTATTAAATTGCTATTTACAAAATCTATAGACTGTTTGCTCAAGTTCTAAGCTAAGTATGCAGAAAACTGAAATAAAGCTTCGCTATATATATTCCCATTACAGCTTCACGAGTTATTTCTTTTCGAATCACAAAACAAAGACCCCTAGGAACATATTTACCATCAATTTAAAGCTATGTACACGATCAAGATTGATACCCTTTTTTATACCCCTTAACAAAAGTGATCACAATGAGGGTATCTTCATTAAAAATACTGAGGATACCATCTCAATTCCATCTCTTCGCGTTCTTTAACCCCTTAGATTTTGCTTTTGCTTTTGCCTGCTGAGAAGCCAACATTTTCTGTTTCTTCCGAGCCTCCTTCTCAGCCTGTTGAACAGATATCAGTCTCTGGCAAAGGAAAATAATTTAAGACATACTTCGTTAATCACCAGCTTAATATTTCCTTGGACATCTTTGATTTTGCTTTTACTTTGGAATTCTTCTCTTCAAGCTCTGCCTCACAATCCAATTCTCTTTGTCTTGCATCGAGATTCTTCTATAAATAATACTGCATATGCCATCAACTATATTCTTAGAAGCCTTACAAATCTCTGAAATAGTTAGGTCTACAACATCAATATTTAAAACACCATTTAAAAGGCTCCAATGCCCTCACTTTTACAGTTTTCCCCTTCTCGTTCTTTCATATGAGCAAAAGGATAAATTTTTTGGTTAATTAGTCACCGTTCTTGTTTGGGTCCAATTTAGTCCAATTGGGCCTGGTCACTGAATGATCCAATTAAAAGCCCAAGGCTAAGGTTCAACTCTCCAAATATGCTAAAGTCAAAAATCAACATCCTCAAAGCCATGTCAAGGTCAGTCAACGGCCCAATCAGCTTGGCCCAGCCCAACTGATTTTCGGGCCCAATCCGCCTCCTTCATTAGCCAAGGTATAAAAGCCAACAATTTGGTCAATTCTTGGTAAGACAAAAAAGCCTCAAGCAACTAAACTCTTGCACAGCTTTCTCTCTCTAATATACTGACTTAAGCATCGGAGGGGCCTTCCTCGGCGTCCCCTCCGAGGCTAGTTTACGTGTATTTGTTGTGCAGGAAACCCTCGGCTCCGGCGTCGTTCGGACCGAGACCAAGTTCCCTCAAGATAAAAGGATCTTCCGAGATTCGATTGTTTTCATCCGAAACAATTTGGCGCCGTCTGTGGGGAACGCTACTAAATTTCGCGTCAGTCATCAAACACTCCGGCAGTCGCCATGACTAAGAGTGGAAAGAGTTCCAAGAAGGCTAAGAAGGGAAGAGGCCGGATTACGGTGAGGGAACGCCAGCCGGTTTATCCCTCCCCGGAGCAAGCCTCTTCCGAATCGGAGGCCCCCATTTCTCCGGAAAGGGAAGCCTCAAGAGGTCCTAGCCTCCAGGAGGAGAACACCTCGCACCACACTCGGCAGCCGGGGCCATCCCCGAGACCGAGTGGCTCAGGTGCGAGGAACTCCCCGCCGCGCCATAGCGTGCAATCCAGGTCACATCCGCGGGAGACTCCTCCCTCCGGACCCTCCACCGAGGAAGTGGCCAGAGCAGTGGCCATCTGCATGGAGTTCCTTAAAGCTCAAGGAGCTCCAATCCAGATGCCTGATGATCACCAGCCGAGAAACCTGAAAAGGAGGATCGGTCAGGATGATGGTGGACAAGTTCCACCACATAGACAGCTCGGCCAGAGGTGGCGAGGGGACACCCGAAACTCCAGTAAGGAGAGGAGGAGGAACCCTCAACCCTCTGACCACTCTGAAGCTCAGAATTCCATGGGGCCCTTCAAGGACCCGGAATTCGCCCGCCAAAGCGTTCACGAACGCTTGGGTTCGAGGGAGGTGAGTGTGCATAGCCGCCTCACCTTCCCAGAGGATACCGGACCCCACCCAACCTTGTCTCAGCCGGGGACGAAAACCACTTCCACCTCTGAGAGAGGAGGGAGCGAGGTCCCTGAGGCCGGGTACAAGGGGAAGGCGGTCATGGTTCCATCGAACTCGCCCTTCCAGAAGTGGATTCTGGAAGAGCATGTGCCAACGGTCAAAATCCCGGCACATATTACTTACGATGGTACCTCAGATCCTAAGGATCACATTGCCTCTTACGAGGGGCACATGTATCTGAACCCGAGGTCTGAGGCTACCTGGTGTAAATACTTTCCTACGACCCTCAAAGGTGTTGCCCAATCCTGGATCACCAAAGGGCTCAAGGAAGGCTCCATAACCGGTTGGAACGACCTCTCCAACAAGTTCAAGAGCAAATTCTCTACGGCCAACCGCCGAGAGAAGACCACTGCAGAGCTAATGAGTCTGCAGCAAGCGGAGGACGAGAGCCTCCGCGACTATCTGACTCGCTTCAGCAACGAGTCATCCGGAATCACAAGCCTGGATCAAGGCCTGGCCGTGTTCGCGCTACGGAACGGCCTCCAAGCTGGAAAGTTCCTGGACTTCATGGTCATGCATCCCCCGCAGACCCTGGAGGAAGCCTTGGAAGCATCGGATAGGTTCATCCGAGCCGAGGAGTGGAACAGATCCAGGTCTCAGTCTCGTCCGAGAATTGAGAAGCCGAAAGGGCAGCAGCCCGAAGTCTCGGCGCAGAGGAAAGGGAAGGCTAAGGCCTCAGAACCGTCCTCTGCTGCCGAGCCGAAGAAGGAAAGACACTTTCCCTACACGGGAAGGTACGATTCATACACTCCACTCTCCCTTCCCCGTGCTAAGATTTTCAGCACGACGAAGGACGAGGGGAGATTCAAAAAACCTCGTCCGTTGCCTCCCTGGCATCAGACGAGGGGAAAGGACCAGTGGTGCGAGTTCCATGACTCACCCGGACATCGCACCGAGGACTGCGTCCAGCTGAAGGACCAGATTGAGGATCTGGTCCGCAAGGGGTACCTGAGCCAATACCTCGCGGACAGGCGCGAGGAGAAAAGAGCTGAAAAAGATTCTCGGCAGGACCTCAACTTCGCTCGGAAGAAGGATAAGGGACCTCAGGGCAAGGAGTCCCTCGACATCCTAGTTATTTCCGGGGGAATCTCGCGAGGCACAGCCAAACGCCAGCTGAGGGGTCTAACCCATCAGATTCATCAGGCTGAGCTTCGGCAGTCCCAGTCACCGGCGCCGAACATCCTGTTCACAGCCGAAGACTGTGAGGGGGTGGTATACCCCCACGATGACCCACTAGTAATCATTCTGGGCATCGCCAACCGCAACGTCTGGCGGACCCTCGTCGACGGCGGTAGCGGGGCGAACATCCTCTTCCGAGGAGCGTTCGACCAGCTGAGGATGGGAGCCGAGCACCTGGCCCCCGCACCCTACCCGGTGTCGGGATTCAACGGCTCTTCCTCGTATCCTGACGGGAAGATTACACTTCCTGTCACCATCGGCGAAGGCCGAGCAGCTAGGAATATCATGGCCGAATTTTTGGTCGTAGATGCTCCATCTGCATACAACGTGATCATGGGGAGACCCCTCATTCACGGCATTCAAGGAGTCGTCTCCACGTATCATCAAATCATGATATACGTTTCAGACGAGGGACGCTCCGAGAAAATAAAGGGCAGTCAAAAAGAAGCCCGCCGATGCAATCACCTCAAGCCATCCACGTCTCGCCGAGGCGACCGTGGCGATGGGGAGGAAAAGCACCGGGACCGAAACGCCAAAAAGCCGAGAGGCTCAGACGTTTCGGCTAATGAAGCCCCAGACAACGAGAAATCTGATGGGGGCCAAAAGGCTGACTCCGCCTCAGAGCCGAACGACTCTGATGGCCAGCCGCGGTCAGGAAAGTCTGCTAATATTGATAGCAGGCCGGAATTCGAGGAATCCAACTCTAAGAGCATGGAGACGGATGACCTGACCGAGTCAATAGAACTGACCGTAGGAGATCCGAACAGATGTGTTAGCATCGGGTCGTCACTGGAGCCAAACACCCGTGCGGCACTCGTCCAACTCCTACGGGCCAGTGGAGACGTGTTCGCCTTCTCAGCCGCAGAAATGCCCGGGATTGATCCGGACTTCGTCTCCCATAGGCTTAATGTCGACCCCTCCAGTCGACCCATTAAGCAGAAAAAGCGGAACTACTCCGCCGAAAAGAACCAGAACATCGCAGCTGAGGTCGATAAGCTCCTAGATGCTGGGTTCATTGAACCCTGTCAGTATCCGGAGTGGCTGGCCAATGTTGTAATGGTTCAGAAGGCAAATGGTAACTGGAGGATGTGCGTTGACTTCACGGACCTGAATAGGGCATGTCCCAAGGACTCCTATCCGCTGCCGAGGATCGACCAACTGGTCGACTCGACAAGCGGGCATGCTCTGCTCAGTTTCATGGACGCATTCTCGGGATACCATCAGATCTTCATGCACCCCGAGGACCGAGCTAAAACAGCGTTCATAACAAGTTCCGGGTTGTACAATTACAGAATGATGCCCTTCGGATTGAAAAATGCGGGGGCAACATATCAGAGGTTGGTTGATCAGGTTTTCGCCGAGCAAAAAGGCCGAAACATGGAGGTTTATGTTGACGACTCAATCGTCAAAAGCATAAAAGAAAAAGATCATGTCACGGACCTAGCCGAAACCTTCGCCACCCTCAGAAAATACAAAATGAAGCTGAATCCGAAGAAATGTGTCTTCGGCGTGAAGTCAGGCAAGTTCCTCGGCTTCATGGTCAGCAAGAGGGGGATTGATGCAAACCCCGCCAAAGTACAAGCTGCTTTAGACCTCCCCGAGCCGAAGACAAAAAGGGATATTCAGCGTCTAGCCGGGAGAATGGCTGCCTTGTCCAGGTTCATCTCACGAGCCTCAGACAAAGGGCTCCCTTTCTTCAAGGCGCTGAAGCTCCAAAATTCAAAAGGCATTGAATGGGGAGACGAACAAAAGTCAGCCTTTCAGCAGCTCCGTGAACACCTGGCTCAACTCCCAACACTGGCGAGGCCAGTCGTAGGAGACATCCTATACTTATACGTGGCGGTCAGTCCAGCCACGGTAAGCGCGGTGCTGCTAAGGGAAGAAGAAAAAGTTCAACAGCCGATCTATTTCGTCAGCCACACCCTGACGGATGCCGAGACGCGCTACCCATTGTTAGAAAAAGTGGCTTATGCAGTGGTGGTGGCTGCTCGGAAGTTGCGACCCTATTTTGATTCTCATCAAATAGCGGTTCTAACTGATCAGCCGTTAGAGAAAGTCCTCGGCAAGGTTGAAAAATCCGGTAGACTAGCAAAGTGGGCTTTCGAGCTCACCGAGTTCAGTATCGGTTATCAGCCGAGAACAGCCATCAAGGCGCAAGCCTTGGCAGACTTCTTGGCCGAGTGCTCCTATCAGGAGACTCTGGATGCAAGGAGGAAAATCTGGACCGTCTTCACGGATGGGTCCTCCACCGTGAACGGTTCGGGGGCAGGGGTCGTCATCACCTCTCCCGAAGGCAAAACCTTCGAGTATGCACTAAAATTTTCATTCAAAGCCTCTAACAACGAGGCCGAATATGAAGCAGCCATTGCTGGCTTAGACCTGTGCATATCGTTGGAAGCCGAGCATGTCT